GACCCTGCTGGAAACTACCTTCCCTGGACTTGGTGAGAAGGTTTCAGGCAGAATTCCCCAGAGAGGCTGCTGGCTCAGCAAGCGCAAGCTGGGGACCAGCAGGAAGTGGGTGCTACAAGGTAGGCCTCAATCTCTTAAAATGTCCTTGGCACAAGAAGCAGGCATGTGGTAATGAAATTTGCTGATAAGAAACTTGGGAAGCATCATCAATACAGAGGAGGATCAGAATATTACAGTATATAAAAAGATTAGGATGACTTTGAAGACTGGTGTGAAAGAAATGGGATAAAATCCAATAGTACAAAGTGTAAAGTCATGCACTTAAGGTCTAATAATATTAAATTTCTGCTATAAGCTGGGGATTTATCAGTTGGAAGCAACAAAGAAGGAGAGAGACCTGGGTTTGTGGGTCGATCACAGGATAACTATGAGTAAGGCTACGATTTAGTTACGGCGGTCACGGAATCCATGACTTCCAATGACCTCCGTGACTTCAACACCGATGGCTGGGAACTGCAGGGTCCCGCAGTCACTCCCAGCAGCAGGGAGCCATGAGGAACCCCCATTGCCTGAGGCAGCGGTGCCCACAAATTCCCAGCCGCCACAGGCAGGGGGGACCCCTGCAGATTCCCAGCTGCCAGCGTCAGCAGGGGGGACGGCAGCAGCTCCCCCAGCCACTGCGGGGACCCCAGCAGCTCCCTGTGGCCGATGCAGGAACTTCTGGCAAGGCAAGGCGCTCCAAAGGCAGTGGGCTGATGGGCTTCCAAAAGGAAGTGTGCCGCACCCAGGATTTCTTACCCCATTTGGGGAGGCTTAGCTTCCCCACGCCTCTTATACCCGCCCCCCATGCTATGAGCCACCAATGTGATGCAGCTGTGAAAAAGGCAAATGTGATCCTAGGATATATCAGGCAATGCATTTCCAGTAGCAATAGATAAGTATTAATACCATCGTACAAGGCACTGGTAAGACCTCATTTGAAATACCATGTACAATTCTGATCAACCGTGTTCAAGAAAGATGAAATCAAACTGGAACAGTTGCAAAGAAGGCCTATTAGGATGATCAGGAGAAAGGAGGGCCCATCACATAAGAGAAACTTGGCTTGTTTAGTCTAGTAGAATGAAGTCTAAAAGGGGATACGATTGTTCCTTATAAATGTGTTGGGGGGGGGTTAAATACTAGAGAGGGTGAAGAGTTATTTAAGCTAAAGGATAATGTTGGCACAAGAGCAAATGGATATAAACTGACCATGAACAAATTCAGCCTGGAAATTAGGTTTCTAACCATCAGAGGAGTGAGCTTCTGGAACAGTCTCCCAATAGTTTTTTTTTTAAATGTTATGTTCCTACAAACTTATGCTTTAGGACTTCAGCCAGCCACCTGCAGGGGTCAGGAAGGGATTTTCTTCCTCAGTGTAACTTAAAAAAAAAAAAAAAAAACTACCTTCTTCTGATGCATCAGGGATGGCCACAACTGGAGATGGGACCTTGGGCAGGGAAGGTAAGGATTCTGAGGTGGTACAGAGCATTCTCTCTCAGGTGCCTGGCTGGCTGTTTCTTGCTAACTGATTGCTGTTACATGGGATCAGGAAGGAATTTCCCCCCCGGTCAGATTGGCAGTAACCTTGGGTTTTTTCCTTCCACTGCAGTGTCGTGGGGTTTCACTTGCCCAAGATTAGCCGCTTACTCATTTTCCTGTCATCCTTGGGGGATTGGGCACTGGTACATCTCAGTCACTCCTATTCACTGCCTTTGGCACGTAAGTCTAGTCTTCTGTGGGCTGTAATATTTTCATCTAATTTCAGTTGTTGGGTTTAGTACTGAGTGGTGCGGGTGGCCTGTGATAGACAAGAGGTTAGTGATCTGGTGGTCTCTCTGAGCCTTAAACTCTATGACACGCCCAGTCTCCCCTCCATTTAGCCCCTCAGGATCTCTGTTCCAATCTATGCATCTTACATGGGCAGGAAAACTGTGCTAATGACTTGACCTTCTGTTGGTTCTAAAAAAATTTGCACTACAGCAAAAATCTTCAAAAGTACACACATCTAGTGCTTTGTGTCTTTTCTTTGATCATGATCCATTTTCTATTTCTCTTTCCCTTATTCACAATATTTTGCTTTCATTTCACTTTGCCCATTTCCTTTTTGTCAATTTTCCCTTTTCCTCATGAGATTCTAAAGCTCTTCACTCTCCCTTTCCCACATATTTTCATTTTTCTTCATGACATCTTTCTCTTGGGAAACTTGTAAATGTATAAATTGTTTAATTTCCCTCCCTGCGAACTTTCTCTCTATTGTGTAATTCCATCTATTGATTCAGGTGTATAATCCCCAAGAAAAAAAAAATCAAGAAAATTAAAGAAGGTCATCAAATACATTCTCAAAGGTTTATAGGAGAGTGATACTATTTTTTTAGTAAATGTAGATGGTCACTGGCACACACACACAGTACATCGAAAGCAACTAAAAGTAAATCAAACACCCAGAATGAAGTGTAAGTGTAGCTACTGTAAGAAAAGGCCAGATTCTGCCACCCTTATGTTAAGTAGTATCTTTTCCCCATTGAGACTATTTGAGGAAAGATGGAAGAATCTGGCTCACAGCAAAGAGATGTTTGGAATTCTATAGCTCCTTTAATCAGAACATCTCAAAGCAGTTTACAAACCTTTAGCCTAAAGGCACTCCTGCTTGGTAAGGGCAAAATGGATCTCTTTTTCATGGTATATTGTAGGATATCTGCTGGCATCTGAGTGAATTGTGGGAATAGAGGTCAATCACCTATTATTTTTTCCACCATATCCCAGAACTCAGCTGGTCCCCATTCCCTTTCCAAACAGCTCACAACCCTAAGCACAGAGGAATGCAGTACCTCATTATTGTGACAAGAAAGCAGATCCTGTTATACTGGACAGAATTCTCACTGACTGATCCAGAAGTGCTGACTAAATGAATTTGGAGGTGGAAGGAATCGCCTGAGGAGAACTCCATGTTTTGAAGCTGTTTAGGAATTTGTGTTTGATCTATTTTCAGAGCAGTTGCACTCAGTACAAAAAGAGCTGAATCATTATAGAGACCTGGGACAATCAGCAGTGGCTGCTGAATGTCAGGACCTGAAAGGCCACATTCCACATTGGTGTGCCAAGCTTGCCCGACTTACTTTGCCATAACAGTAGAGTGAGACCTGCTTTCAGAGCTGAGAAGTGATGGCAATGGCAATAAGAAAGCCTGCCATCCAAGACTGCTCCAGGTCAATAGGGCAAGGCCCCAGTTGGGTGTAGGGAAATCCACAGCAGGGAGAAGTTGTGGTGGGGATTTGCACAATTAAGTGCATCCTTTTGCACAGGCTGGGAAGTGCGGCAGAGTAAGGAATTACATTGGCACAACTTGTATATTTAGACTAGGCCTTATGCCTATTTTGCAGATAGTGACTATGCAATGTGTAGAGCTGTGGAGAATTAGGCCCAGAGTATTTGACGTGTAAAATATACATCTACTTGTAAGGGTTCAAAGTGTTTACAAACATTAAAGGACACCTGAAATCAAGTCAGTTAAAAAAAGTTAAATAGTCTCAGTGGCTAAACAAGTCCCTGAATCCCCCAGTCAGTTTTTATGGTTGTAGAAACACATTTCCATGTTTTAAAAAAATATTTTTCCTCTTCCCTATTACTGGTTGAAAGGCCAACATAAACAGCTGGGGCCTCTGACTAAGTACAAAGTGCTGTCACATGCAAAAATTAAACAAATTCAGAAGAATAATATTTTGTTTTCTCTCTTGGCTTCAGTAACGATCATATTTGAAATGACAGAAGGGAAAACATTTCCAGCCCAACCTTTGATTTTGAAATTGAGGGTTTTAGACCCCAATGCTTCCAATAGCATCTCCGCACAAGAGGGTAACAGATCACCCGCCCTTGTTTAAGTACCAATCAAAAAACCATTGCTGCTGTTGCGACCCACCTTACAAATCCCCCAGCGCAGCCTCTCCCTCTCCCGGGACTGACACTAGCGCAGTGGCTCAGCGGCCTGCCTGCTCTACGCAGCCAGAGCGGGATTCTGCCCTGGCTCCAGTTTCACTTCGTTAGTGTCTGCAATATAACAACCGAGAGAGAAGCCCTCCCCCACACACCGCCCCTCTCCTCCTTACCAACGCCTTCCCCCCTCCCCACACGTGTCCTTTCGCTCGCTTCCTGCCGCCGGCCCTGCACAAACTGGGGGGAGGGGAGTTGCGCCCCGCCCTCACGCGGCCTGACGGCGAGGGGGCGGGGAGCCCGCCAGCCAATGGCTGGGCTCGGAGGCTCTGGCTCCTCCGAGCTTCCGCGATCGGGCGGGGTGAGTCGGCGGCGTAGCAGCGGCAGCAGGTTCCCGGGCTGTGAACTGTGACGGTAGCGGCTCGGCCCGTGTCTCCGCCATGGCCTACCCGGGGTTCGGAGCGGTGAGTAGCTACGACGCGGGGCCCGGCGCCCGCGGCCTGAACAAAGCCCCGACGTCGCCCCTTGCGGGCTCCGCGGGGAGAGGGCGGAGTGAGGCCCTGCCGCCTGGGGGCCTTGCGCTTCCGCACGGGACAAAGGCCTGAGCTGGGCTGGGCCCTCCCAGCCCACCAGGGCCGGCGGGACCAGCAGCTCCTCGGGGCTGCCGTGGGGTTGGGCGGGCGCAGCAGGCGTGGGAGGGAGCGATCGCTCGCTCGAGCCGTGACGGGCAGGCCCCGCCCCGGCGGCCGGGCGTGGCAGGCTCCTAGCGGTGCTGGGGGCCGCCTGTGTGGGAGGGTTGTGGGGGGCGCCCGAGGGGGCTCTCGTCACCCGTTCGTGCACTTCCCGGTAGTGAGCAGCCGCCGCGGGTAGGCCCCGGCAGGCGCGGCCCTGGGCCTCTTGCGGCGGCCCTAGCGGTGGCACGGGAAGCCAGGTAGGGGGATTGCCTAGAGCGGCAGCTCGCACCCACTCGTGGCGTGGAGCACGCGGGAGGGGTCAAGAGAATGAAGTCAGTGCTCGAGTGCTGGCCGGGGCCCTGGTGTGAAACACAGAAAATTTGGCTCTTTCAGAACAAGCAGAGCCAGTTTCAGTGAGTAGTTGGCGGAGAAGGAGAACTGGGATTGCGGCGCCTCTAACCTTTGCGTCACCGCTCTTTAAATGCAGTCCAAATTATCCTGGGAAGCAGTTGGGACTTCCGTTTCTCGTGGCCATCGCCACAGACTGCTCTGGCACGGAGTGCCTTTCTGACGGTCCTAGTTGGTCTTGGGCTGGAATAATCATGGAGCCTGAACTGTCCTCACAAACCACCACGGGAGAGTGGTGATGTTGCAACAGGAGGCACACCCAGTTACAAAATGGCCCTGTACAAATATGGAGCCACTTCTGTGAGTTTGTAGTGTGCTCAGTAGTTTTTCCCGTGGTGTGTGCTATAAACCTGTGATGCTATTCCCTCTGCTGACCCCAGTGCCTGACCTGCTGAGACCACACCATGCTCTGCCCCCACTTTCCAGCCTGGTGCAGTGCCCTTCCCCATTCCTGAGATGGGACAGGAGCAGCTGGAAGTGGGGCAAGGCATGCCCCTGCCAGTAGCTCTGGTGCAGGAGCTGTCCACTCAGGCTTGGTTCCACAGCCCCTCTGGTATGATGAGGGAGTGGGACCAAGATTGAATGAGTGGCATTGTGACATGATGCATGGGAGTCGCAGCACCAATCACTTAATTTTGGCCTTTCCATCCCTGTGTCACAGCAGAGGATCAGCAGAACTAAACCTAAGTAGGCAATAAAGTAGCAGCTATGCCTGTTCCTCCTTGCTACCGCAGCGGTGTGCACCATGCATAATGTGTACAGCTGCGGGCACCACTGTAAGGCACTTCTCACTTCATAGCAGCACAGGTCACTTGTAGCTAACTAGCATCCAGTCCTCAATAATACAATTTCTTCTTCTAGGTAAGAGACACTATTCTTGTATTTATAACTGTGGCACAGCAGAAGGAAAATAAACGCAGTGCCTTGACCTACTAAAATGTTCTCCGCTAATCAAATTAAGCAAATACGAAGTTTGATCAGTCAGGATCCATAGCCCAGATATTTATCAACTTTGAAAACAGGCTGTCTATGGAGACTTCCAGGTTGCTCCTCTGAGATTGTCCTTCAGTAATTCCTTAACTATAAAACAAGTCTCAGCTGCACAGATTGGCTCAGGTGTAACTAGGCACTCCGCTGTCTTCTTTCAGCTTTACTTAGACAAGAGTAGCTACATGGGTCCCATCTTCCCCTGGAGCATTTGTCCCCTGAGACCATTTCTGCTTCCTTAAAGCTACATTGAAAAGTATTCATTTTTAATACTGGAACACAGGTAGTACTATAGCTACGCGATCTACTTCTTGGGATTCTGAAGGCTAGGGTACCCTCACTGCTTTCTTGGATCTGATACTACTTTTGAAATATTATACAGAGGATGGATTCTTTAGGGCCATTCTAAGCTGCCTTTTAAAGAAGTATCCAATATTGGCAGCTGCCTCTGCAGAGTCTTCTATTTTTATTCTAGAGCTTTCTGTTGAAGCATCAATGTGCAGAGTTGGTTTCATTCCCTTCTCAGTAGAGCTATGGTTCAGCTTCCAGTTCTGTCTCCTATCTCTCACACACTAGTTGCCTTGGCACTGGCATTTGTGTCTGATCTGGTGCTGAATTATTTTGGAAAATCCTTTCAGTTTCTATTGATGAGCAAAAGGCAATTAGCATGTTCATTATATTTTTCCTCCCACTTTTTAATAAGTCAGAGTCAGGGGAAAGAAAACCTTCAAATTTTGAAGGTTGTCCTTATGGTACTGATAAAAATAAGTGCTTATTGGAGGATGAGGTCCTCTGCTATATACAAATAAAAATCACTTCTAAGCATTATTTTAGTAGTTGAAGGCCCACCCATTTCAACATCACAGTACAGTTTCTCTGCTCAACCTGTCAAGACTGCTGAAACAGTCTGTATGACTGATTTAAATAACTAAACAGTTTAGCACAGGAGTGAAGAATATAATATAATTAATGGAAACTGCAGGTAGGATTAGATGGTTAGACTTTATCCAAACAGAATTAGTTACTAAATTCTGCAAAAACGTGTCCATATTCTCTGTTTTATACCTCCATTTAAAAGAGAACCACTAACAACCGCCATTTCTTTTTGGAAAATAATTTAATTGCTCATATAACATTTCTTTGGTAGTGCAATTTATTCTTTTGCAATCATGTAGTAAAGTACACCTCTACCCCAATATAACGTGACCCGATATAACACGGGTTCACATACAACGTGGTAAAACTCTGCCCTGCCGCTTTGAGCAGTGTGTTAAGGGGGCCAGGCTGGGCCGGGGCCAAGGGGTTGGAAAAGGGGCAGAGGGTCTCGGGAGAGGTCAGGGGGCCCCCCACCCCCTGGGTCTAGGAGCGGGGGGGATTTGGGGGCCCTGCAGTCCCAGAGTGGCCTGGGGGATTAGCAGGGGGCCGGGAGCAGCCTGCTCCGCTTCCCTGGTCCCAGCAGTGTCGCTTGGGGGAGGGGGCTTGGGGGAAGGGATTCCCCCCACACTCAGCAGCAGAAGCGGAGCAGCTCAGCTCCACCCTACTCCACACCGCCAGCTGCCAGCCGCGGCACTCCATTTCCCGCCACAGGTGAGTGCGGGACCTTTCCCCAACCACCCCACCACCCCCCCTCAGCGACACGGCTGGGGCAAGGAAAGCGGAGTGGGCTGGGGCCACATTTCCCCCAACCTCCTCGCAGTTACCGGCGGCGAGAAGCGGAGCAGCCCTGCCCCAGCCTGCTCTACTCTGTCTGCTCCCAGCCACAGTGCTCCGCTTCCCGCCACAGGTGAGTACGGGAGGCGTCCTTTCCCAGATCTCCCCGCATTCACTGGCGGCAGGAAGTGGAGTGCCGTGGCTGGGAGGTGGCGTAGTGGAGCGGGCTGGGGCTGCATTGCTCTGCTTCCCGCCACAGGTGAGTGCGGAGGGCGTCCTTTTCCCAACCTCCCCGCACTCACCGGCAGTGAGAAGCAGAGCAGCCCGCTCTACTCCACCAGCTCCCAGCTGCGGCACTCCGCTTCCTGCCACAGGTGAGTATGTGGGGCATCCTTTCCCCAACCTCCCTGCACTCACCGGCGGTGGGAAGCGGAATGCCACGGCTGGGAGGTGGCGGAGTGGAACGGGCTGGGGCCACGTTGCTCCGCTTCCCGCCACTGCTGGTGAGTGCCTGTCAGGGGGCGGAGGCTGTGGATAGGGGTTGGAGCAGTCAGGGAGCAGGGGGGTTGGGTAGGGGGTGGGGTCCTGGGGGTGATTAGGGACAGGGGTCTCTGGAGGCGGCGGTCAGGGAGCAAGGAACGCCAAAGCAAGTTTGATATAACGCGGTCTCACCTATAATGCAGTGAAATGGTTTTTTTTGTCTCCTGAGGACTGCGTTATATCAGGGTAGAGGTGTATTCATTTTAGAACTATTCTAAAAACTCTGAATTAGAAAGTGGTGTGTGATCACAGCATACGTAACTTCTTTTAAAAAAAAAGGGGGGGGGGCAGATAATGTGGTGCCAGTGTTTGGATATATGACCGATCAATTTGAAGTGGTATAGTTATTTGAATTAGTCTGTGTAATGGGCATTTAAATAAAAGTGCATTTGTTTGTAAGTGGAAGTCTGTTACTATAGATTGAGCTGGTGAAGACACTGAAATATTTCTCTTTTTCACAAAAGTATGGAGGTTACAGTGGTCAGATGCCAGGAATGCAAATGACAGTGGGACAGCCAATGCCAGGAGCAGTACCAAATATGCCTCATGGAGGATACTCTGGATATTCTGCATATTCTGGTACTTACTCTGCTGCTGCTGACCCTATGTGGACTTACTTCGCTGCTATCGCTGGACAGGTACAGTAGTATATGTCATGTAATTAAGTAAGCCTTATGAGTTTACCCAGCAAAGTCTGCTTTTTTTCTGTGAAAGAACACTTAGCTTGCTCAGTACAATATTATTAAAGGTCTCAAGAATTGTGTCTCACCAGTAAAATTGGATTGTGTTTAACAATAATGGTAACTAAAACTGGCATTTGAGTTTGATGTCCCCTCTCCTCAGTTAATTGAACAGTGTTTGTGACTAATAGTATAAAGCCTAATGTCAGTGGTGAGCTGTAAACAAGCTTTCATCCTTCAGTAATACTTTCTTAACCTGAAGAACAAACTTTACAGTTTTACATGCTTGAAATATAGACATCTTCAAAAATACCTGTGATTGCCTAAAGGAAGAACCAATTACTGTGTCCCCCCAACCCCCAAAATAATAATAAGAGCCTGTTAAACCTTTGCAGACTTGGTGTAGTCTTATTACTCTATTAATAAAGATAAAAATTTAGGTAGACCTATAAATATTCCATATTCATGTTTTCACTGCCTACTGAAGTGAAGGTGATGGTCTTCCTCAATCTCTCTCTCTCTCATTTTCTCTCTCTCTCTCTCCAGGGCACTTTCATAGTATTGTGCCACAGTTTTTTATGCAGGTAGTAAAGGGAAACACTAAAATCCTGTTCAAGTGGGGTCTGAGAACAAACCAGGATTCTCATGAAACTAATTTTGGTGCTTTCATACAGGACAAAGCAGAAAGGGAAAGACAGTGCAAGAACATGGCATCTAAAAGTAAAATCCCAAGGGACTTGGGTCTTTAATACAATTCAGGCAGCATCCATTTTAAAGTGCTTCTTTTAACCTGAGGTCCTAAATCTGATATTTAAGTTCCTCAGTCACATATTGCTATCCAAACAGTATCTCTTATTGATACAGGATTGCATAGTATGTTTTGGTAAGATAGTGATGGAGGGTAGAAGAATCTAGTCACGTTTTTTTAACTTGCTTATTGTGCCAGCATGCTACTGAATGGCTTTGAAGAGCTATATATACCTCTACCCTGATATAACGCCGTCCTCGGGAGCCAAAAAATCTTGCCACGTTATAGGTGAAACCGCGTTATATCTAACTTGCTTTGATCCGCTGGACTGTGCAGCCCAGTCCTCCTCCTCTTTCCCTCCCCCCCGACCGCTGCCTTACCATGTTATATCCGGTCATGTTATGTCTGGGTAGAGGTGTAGTATAAAATAAGGGTATTAAACACTGAGAATAATGTACACATGACGATTGTATTGGGTTGGAGTGAAAATAGATACCATGTCCCAATCTGCATTATGTTTCTGTAATGGGAATGGCAGCAACAGCACAACCTATGATCAAGTGATGTAAGGAATAAGAACCGGGAAGTTTCTTGGTGTGATCTGGGGGAAAAATGTGGGGGGAGGAAGGGAGGGAAAGGGGGCTGACAAGGATTCACAGAGGGCATGTGCATGGCCCCACAGGTTACTGTTCACTAGATGGTTTGGGATTTGTGCTGCCAACATGCACATTCCTAAGAACGTGGATCTGCAGAGGCAATGTATTTGAAGATCTCCAGTTCCAGGTGAGTAATCTTCTCTTCTAGATTACAGGAGCTGCTTTGTTTGTTTGTTTGTTTTGTTTTGTTTTTTATCTCCTCTCCCACCCCACTGCCCCCCTTTCTGGCATAAGTCACACAGTCATTACAGATTGAGGCTGTGAACCTCAAACTGTCTATTGACTTCTGCTTTAAGATGCATTGTGCTGCCTTGACTCTGCTTGCCTAATCATCTTTTATCCTTTATTTCTTTTTTGGTGCAGAACACCACTTTTTCTGTTTTGTGATGAGTCATATCCTGCCTTTGTCCCTACTAACCTGTGGAAGCAGGAGCAGATGGATACACTGTGAAATAGCTGCAGCGCTTAGAGCAACACAGACATTTTTAATGCATTCCTGAGTAAAGGGTCCAAATTATATTAAAACTGCTGTGTAGCTGTATGTGATCCCTGAGCAATACTTGATCACCGTTGGTTTTCTTCCTTCTCAAACATGCTTAAGACATGACATTTTCTAAGAGGATAAAACGTATCCAAAAGGTATTAGCAAAGGCATATTAAGACTTCATAATTAAATTGCCTCAACTAGGACACTCATGACTTCCTTTGCAAAAACATTCAGTTTCAGTGATTACAGGCCAGAAGTACCCACATGTTTACCTCTGAATTGCAAACCTGTCTGAACTGTTTGACTGGTTGGGGCATGCAACATAAATTGGTGCTGCTAGGAACAGTAAACTAAAACTCACTTTCTGTCTGGTCATTGGATTAGTACTAGGACTGATATGATCTGGTATAACCAGGTGGATTGATTTAAATCAGCAAGCAGGAAACCTTGATTTACATCAATGGTAATCTTGTTTTGCAATTGTGCTTTTTATGGTTATCTTCCTAAAGAAATTTTTGATTCTCATTGGTTGGTAGCCATTAAAACATGTTGATTTGCACTTAAATATAGCCATTACACTAAATTTGATACTCTTTTGCTGACCAGGAGGATTTAAGCAATTATGTAGCTTAACATACATTCATATTCCTAACTTTACACTTTTATGTTAAAAATGGTGAATGATGTATTTCTTATTTACTAGTAATGTGTCCAGCTGTATTTGGATGGAAATTGGAATTCAGTTATGTCCAAAAATATGTAAAATTGCTTGACTAGTTCAGTAAAACTGAACCTTAAATGTGCTGGATACATAAGGGAAAAACTTTATCAAAACAGTTTGCATTTAAAACTAGGAAGTATTATCCTTGGTGAATTGAAGTGATTGTTTTTGGTCACCATGTCCTTCAAGATTTTAGAACTACAGTAGAACCTCAGGGTTACAAACTGACCAGTTAATGACACACCTCATTTGGAACTGGAAGTATGCAGTCAGGCAGCAGCAGAGACCAAAAAGCAAATCTAGTACAGTACTGTGCTAAATGTGAACTACAGGGGGGAAAAGGAAAAACAACCTTTTTCTTCTGCATAATAAAGTTTTAAAGCTGTATTAAGTCAATGTTCAGTTGTAAACTTGAACAACCATAATATTTTTTTTTCTGAGTTACGAACATTTCAGAGTTATGACAACCTCCATTCCTGAAGTGCTCGTAACTCTGAGGTTCTACTCTAGTAGAACTCGTCCTCACACCTAGTTTTTATTCATAGATTGGAAGAGGAAAATAAGCTTGATTGCTTTTTCAACTCCTAATTGGTTTCTTAACTTTGAATGAACTAGTCATTGAACTGAACTAGTTGAATAAGCTAAAATGAAGAAAATATTCTCGGTGGAGACTACTGGTGTCAAAAGCTGAGTTTCTTCAAATGCTAAATCTGGTTGCAGGTGCTAAGCTAGTGGCTTTCATCAGATCAGTGGTTAGTTTGACTGTTTTTAAAACTTCACAATATTAATTTAATTGAAATGATTAATAACTTATAGTACATTTAGACCTTAATGTAAGTTGTCATCATTTTAAATACTTTTAAAAAAATCTGAATTTAAAAAAAATAAAATTTTTATCCTTTTAAACCACTCTAGGTATTGCTCAGAAAGGCCTTTTCCATTTCGCTCTCCTGGAATTATTAGCAGTTTTGCTCAGGCATAGGGATCCATACCTACACAGATCCAGGTGCAGGATTGGGGTCTAAATGCATAGCTTGTGACTTTATAATAGCCATTATAGAGAGATGATAGTTTTGCCATTTACTTTTGTGAGAGCAGGATTCAACCCATAGCATGTCTTCAGCAGGAGCGGCAGTAACACGAGTTACGATTCTATGAGTTTCACACTGTTCCAGAGGTACGAGACATGATTCAAGGCAGAGGCCCAAAAAGGTGGGGGAGAATGTGATGAGGCATAAACAGAGTAGGAGAAGCATCTGCATCTGACTCCTCAGTGAGTAATTGTGGTGGTGGTGGTGAAGGGAAGAAACGAAAAGGTTTAAAAAAAAAAAAATTGGATATGACTGTGTGCTCGTGTCTTCTCCCCTAAAAGTGGAGAAATAGAAAGAGGGACTGAATATTCCTCTCTTCTGTATAGGCTCTTACACAGTATCACTGCTACACAAAAGAAATGCACGCAACCTGAAGAGTGGGGGAGAAAAGGTCATTGCTTAATTTTAGAGTGGACATTGTATGGTTTTTTTCAGTTACCAGTTTAGTTATACAGTTAATTGGACTGGCAGCTGAGGAAAAACTCAGAATTAAAACTCTGCCATTCCCAAAATTGTGGGTTTCCCTTTATCCTGATGCTCATATGAAATTGAACTAGGCAAAGGAAATGTTTGTCCAAAGCCAAGGCCGGCTCCAGGCACCAGCTTCTCAAGGTATTTGGCGGCAATTCGGTGGACAGTCCCTCACTCCGCCTGGGAGTGAAGGACCTCCCGCTGAATTGCCGCCGCAGATCGCAATCGCGTCTTTTTTTGTTTTATTTTTTTGTTTTGGCTGCTTGGGGCGGCCAAAACCCTGGAGCCGGCCCTGTCCAAAGCTCAAATTATTTCAAACTTTTAGTGTAAAAGATTTCTTTCTACCTTTCAGGAATCTGTCTCCATAAATAACTTTTGCTAAAGATCATTTCTTGTTTTGTCAGCCAAGCTCATTGGTAGGATTAGTGTCCTCCAGCATGTTAGAGTGAATTCAAAGCTAGATTAAATCAAGACTTTGGTTTATAGGCATAACATGCATGAGGTGAGCTTGACTGCCTCAGAGGAGACGAAGATCACACTTAGTGAAAGACGCAGTTTCACATAGTCCCTTATCAGAGTGGACAAACTCCAAAATAGAGAGGTTGATGGATGAGTGTTGGAACCTGGTTGAGCTACGTGCAAGCCACCTGTTTTCCTTCTGATAGCATGCTTTATTACGAAATCCTGAATAACTCCTAGCTAAGTTTGCAGGAGCCATTCCATTCCCTATTTTTTCACATTCTAATTTTCTCAAATGTGTTTCAGTGGAAGTGTCTCCTGGTTAGTATCGGCCTAAAAGTGTGGTCTCCAGTTTCATGACTATTGGATGAGCTGGTTTTGAGCTATGGAACTCAACAGATTTAGCATGTTCCTATTTGTTGTCTGTGTCTGATAACTCAGAAATAGCTTGGTTCATTCACTGTTGTCTACCAAGGAATAGTGGAGAAAATTTGTAGCTTCAAACCTGCATTGTCTTTGCTGTCAAAATCAATTCTATTCCAAATTTATCTTCAGGAAATTTACATCTGTAAGTAAAAGTAGATTACAGTTAACAAAGGTCTTCTGTTGTCCACTCTTTTCCATATCTCTGTTCTAAGTGCAGTATGCTTTGCAATATGACAAACCTTGAAACATATTGGTCTCTCTTCCTTGCATGCATGTGTATTTGTGTAACTATGTAACAAAAGCCCTTATTGTAAGAGGTGTGGGTAAGGAGCTGAGTTAGTTTTTGTGAGCTCCTTTTGGAATCTTAACTGAGCTCTTGCTGACTTTTAGAGGGGTTTTTCCTTTTACTTATTTTTTTTTAAATTCTCAAGTATAATACTATAGTAAACTTAGTTTTTTGTAGGGGGAATACACATTCACTCCTGAAGTACGAGGCACATAACCACAATCTGTCATCTACCATGTAGCAAGACCAGTGGGGTGATGGAAGCGCTGGCCTTGACTCTCAAAGAACTGAGCAGGTAGAAATTCAGAAACATGGGGATTGAATTGCTTTTTGGGTGGAGGGCAAAAGGGGAAAATTGTATTTCTGACTTTCATTGTACTATTGATATGACTAGTAAATGAGATTCAGAAATATAATATTCACCTCACTAAAATTTAAGCTATTCAGTTCCCTTCTTTTTCTTCACCCTTCTTTTTTTTTTGTGTGAGCTTACCCATTGAAAAATGTCCTTTTTCCTATTTGAGGATAAAGGCTCCATACTGTGGAGATTCTTGCAGCTTAATAGAGCTGATCACTTTTACTTTAGAGCCTGCCAGTGTTGCTCCTCAGTCAGACAGATGTGGATTGATGAAGAGCATGTGATTGTGTGTAGTCTACACAGTGTTACTAGCCCCTGCTGTAACACAGTGATGGGTGAAATTCAGTCCTCCATGGAGAGCTGCAAACAGAACACCTTTTTCTTTTCCTACTCCCTTCAAGATGACAGTGTCACCTCTGCTCCTGCATGAAATCCAATGATATAAGCAGGAACAAGATGAATCTTACCAGGATGGGCTAATTTTGCTTTGTTTCTGGGGAGTTCCTCTGAATGCGCTATCCTCATGGCTTTACCCTTAAGGCAGTATAAAGAATGGCAGGGCAAGGAACAAGAAAAATGGGTCTTAAAATATTTTCTCTCACATTTAACTTCTATCTATTCATGGGACAAGCTCACCAAAAATTGGTTCTTCCTATTTTACAGCTCATGTTTAATTTTATTTGTTTTATAAAAACCAAATTTTAGCATTTTAGTGTAAGATACAGTAGCAGTAAAATAATTTGACTTGTATGCTGGATTTCCTTATTTAACTGTTTATGTTGGCCAATCATAATATCCTAGAACTGTAACATGGCTCTTCCAAAAGTTACTTAGAGTGTATACCTAAATACAGTGAAAAGTGCTGCTTGTCCTTTCATAGAGATGTCATTCCACCCGATACCAGATCTGCTCAGTGTGTCAGCTATTTATACTTACTAACTAGCCACAAAACTTAGCTTGCTGCTATAGTTTCTAGTTCCAAGAGAGAGCGGAAGCCCAGCTGATTAGACCTTTCTACAAAGCTGTCAGTGAAGCCTAGAGAACCTTGTTTAAAGTCCTTTGTCATGTGTTTTGTTGTTGTTGTTTTTCCAAGGAAGATGATTTTCCTGTTACACTCACTTGCTTCTTGAGAACTTGGTTCTTGGAGAATCCTTTTTATAGGATCAAATGTGGAGGTTTTGAGAGCTTGTTACCTTTTGGTCTTGGGTGTTCAGAGGGCTGATCTGTACATGTCTATATGGGATGTTTAGCTTTCAGATTCACCTTTTTATGTTGCTCTTATCTGCATCGTTCTACTTCAGCTATAATCAGTACTGGCAGTGAAATAAGCAAGCTTTTCGGTTATTTTAATATCCTTCTTTTGAAGTGCTCTGTGGAGATGCTGAGAGAACAGGATGCTAGGAACAGAGCAGAGGAACACGAGGTAACAGACACAGTGATACTTGGCTGACAGAAAAAGCACATCTAGTATAGTCAGATGTCCTTTATGTTCAACAGTCAGTCATCAGACAGCATCATATCCCTCTTTATTGCTTTTCAACCTGAAGGATTCTAAAGCACTGTGCAGCACAATCGACTATATTGATTCTGGAATAACTTGACCCGTTACTAAAATGTAGCTATCACCGCCTTCGGTGTGGAACATGGCAGCTTTTTTTTTTTTTCCTTTTCAGTTTGAAGAGTTCGCATTCTTCTAAAAAGAGAAACATCTGCAAGCTGTTTAAAACTGCACAGCCACACAGTACAATAGTTTAGCACAGTAAGTGAGGAATATGTATCCACTGAACTATAGAAAGATTTCGGTAGTTAGAATATAACTACACAAATTGAAATTTAGCCAGCACACTGGGAATAACATCCCTGCTCTTAATAGCATCATAGGTTCTTTGACCACAAAATGGTCAAAATGTCAGTTTTATTGTATACATCAACCAAAGGAACATCAGCAAAACTTCGGGGGACCCTTGACATGTGATGGGCAAAAGAAAAGGACCTTTTTAATAATTTGTTTCAAAATGGAGGCTCTGATACTCTAGAAGGCTCTCATTAAAATCATGAACAAAATAGAAATAAGTGCAGAAAACGTCTTAACCAATTATTTGATAGAATTGTTTGCAACTTTATGAAAATTCTATATTGATTATCAGAAAATGTCACTGTAACAATTACTGCTGAAGGCTCATTTTAAATAGGTATTTGTTGCTAAGATAAGATTCCATTTAATTACTGTTGCTAAGATAGAAGGATTCCATGTAATTGCTGTAAGCAAGGAATTCTATTTAACTTTAGTGCTGCAGATTCTTGATTTAGACGAGGCACCATTCTGTAGTTTTGTTTTTAATTTTTTAAGTATTAAATATCTTTACCTAGTTATAATGAACTAATTAGTTTGTCTTCAGTTAGATTATTCACTGGCACTTCATTTTTGCATGAATTTGTATTGATAAGTGTCCATGACCATAAACCTATGCACTCTGTTCTACAGGATGGTGAAGTGGATGCAGAGGAACTACAGAGATGCTTAACACAGTCTGGAATCAGTGGGACCTATTCTCGTAAGACTTTGAATGTTGCTACTGTACACTTTCTTTTTTAATCTGTGGATGATATTTTGGAATTTCTGTTCTTCAAGGAGCATTCCCTCTCTCCCATGTGTACCTCTTTCATTTCCTTCCTTATCACAGATTTCCACTTGGTGCTGGCATATGTCCTTTCTATGCACCTTAAATAAATGGTACAGTCCTGCTAATGCCAATCCTGAAGATCAGCATTTGTGCTAGTTCATCTGTACAGTGTTTCCAGTACACTTTATTTTTACTTTCTCTCACGCTTTCCCTCTTACACAACAGAATATAAAAACAGTTGCAACCACAGGGTCTGGGCTCTGGTGGGTGCTTATCCCCCTCCCAAGACATGTACCATGCTTTTTAATACCTTTGAATGAAATGGCATATGGTTAGAGACCAGGTAGGATCTCGAGTGCAACATGTTCCAAAACTCTTATTCGGAAGGCAAAATAGTCTCTTATTTTGTTTTATTAAATCCTTATAACTCCTGGAATCAAAATAAAGTATCTTTGCTTTATAGGTTATGATTTTAATACCAAATCTTACTGTTCTTAAGGTATTACTGTGTATTTGACATGCGTAGCCTAGTAGTAGAGCAAGCTTTCCTATACTGGCCTGCCAAATGTGCCTTCACCTTGAGATACTGAGTTGAGATGGTAACTTGGTTTCCATGCCTGTTTAATCCTTGTTCTCCCGGCTGATACTGAATTAATACTCTCCATTAAGAACAGGAGTTGGGTCACCAGTTCCTGGCTCAGTAGATGCTAAAAAGCAATCTGTCCTGCATTTTATCCACATCTAACCCATGGCTTAAATAACTAGTAATGTAGAAGCAAATATCTTCATGTCCTTTTAGCCATCTCCTACTTGATTTTGTTTTTCCTGGTGAGCTTTCAAAACCTCTTGCAAAAACAAATTAATTCATGTGTTGACTATTGTGACTGAAACATCACTGGTTACTAGAAATTACAACAGTAAAATTAATCTAGTTTTGAATCAATCTTTGACTATTTTTCAGCATTCAGTTTGGAAACCTGCAGAATTATGATCTCCCTGATGGATGTATCCTTGGGAAAATCTAGACTATACTGTAATCTTAAAGTCAGTTTAAACCAATTAATAATCCTGAGAAGAAACTAGAATTTCGAACCATTTTAAACTAATATGTTTTAGAACACTATCTTTGGGCTCCATTAATTTTTAATGTTGCACAGTAATTGATTGTATTAGTGTTGTCAGGGTGGTTAGAAGTCAAGCTGCCTTATGTGACTTGAAAGTATATGTAATTTAATAATTTGGTTGCCCTATTAAGTTATTAATTTTAATGCATTAAGTTATTTTTGTTAACAAAACTACATCAGAGAGATTATACAGGAAAAATGGGATTTAATGAATTCAAAGAACTCTGGGCAGCTCTTAATGCTTGGAAGCAAAATTTCATGATGATTGATCAAGACCGAAGTGGAACCGTGGAACTTCATGAATTGGGTCAAGTCATTGCAGCTATGGGTAAGATAGCATTTGAAAAACTTCTGCAGCCTCCTGTTTGTTCTATTTATTGCAATATATATTACTACTTTAATTATAAGGATGCAGCATGTAGAATATGGAAGGTTGCAGTGGATTGTGTTGCTACCTATTGGGTCAAAGTATAGGACTTGCCAGCAGTGTTGTACGGGTACCGTGCTTCGTTTCTGGAACTCCAAACTATCAACTAAGTATTCCTCCCTTTCTGGCTAGCCCAGAAATAGTGTCGATAAGCTTCATAGAGAGCTGTATATAGCTATCTTCTGAAGGAAAGATTGGTCATGTGGACACACATTCTTGAAGATTGGGAGGAGACAGGAAATGCCATGTTCAATACGGAACACAGTGTTAATTTTCATAACAAGTTTTTAGATGCAGCACTTCTTGGTATTGGCATACACAGGGCTAATGCATCAATTTGGGGTACAGGAGGGAAAGGAAGACTTTAGTATATTCTGCCGCTGGAGGAGTCATGGGCATATGTCTTCCTAATGAGGCAAAATGTGTCCTGGGGGCACAGCATTTCAGCAGAGTACACCTCTACCCCAATAAAATGCGACCTGATATAACACGAATTCGGATTTAACGTGGTAAAGCAGTGCTCCGGGGGGGCAGGGCTGCGGACTCTGGCGGATCAAAGCAAGTTCGATATAACACGGTTTCACCTATAATGCGGTAAGATTTTTTTGGCTCCCGAGGACATATCGGGGTAGAGGTGTATAAAGATACACACAGAAACTATGATGAACCTAGACCATCTTATAGGGCAGATGTACACAAGCCTGTGAGCTTCCCCTTTGATAGTAGGTCATTAAAGATTAGTGACTAAAAGTTGCTCTTCATCTAGAATACCCCAATGTAAAAAAGTTATACAAATCTTGATCATAGCTGTTGCTAGCCAACAATAGTAAATCAGGAACCAGTACCAGACATTTCACTGACATAAAAAGGCTTTCTGTTAAACTGCATTTCTGGAACATTGGTGGATAGGCAGCCTGTTCCATTTCCCTCTGAGTGGGAGAGGCTAATGCTTTTGTGGATCAAAGTGCTGCAAGTGTTTGGAGCAATAGTTACTTTGTGCATGGGATTTTATATGCACAGACTATCCTTAAGTCTCTGGGCTGCAACTTTTAGCAGCTGCTGCTAAGTTAATTATTGAATAGAGGTAGTGGGTGGAAGTTAGTAGCTTCCTAGTTACTCTTGAGTCATAGGTAGACATTGACTCCACTACTAGGGGGTATGATTGCAGCTCAGGTAGACATCCCACACAAGTATTGCCATAGGTAACAGTGTAGATGTAGGGACATGGTCTTCAGCAATGTAACCTAACCCATAGAAAAGCCTGTGTTGCCAGATCTACGCTGCTGTTTTTAGCAGTGCTAGCATGGGCATGTCACAGCTCAGATTGCAGTATAGACATCTCCACGCTTGATTCTGAATGACAGGAGGCCGGGAAGAATAAATGCCAAGGGAAGCTGAATTTGCTAGAGACTTGAATCCTGCATGAGATGTCTCTGGCCTCTTGCTTGAAAACTACTACTTTTTAAAGTGTATGCAATTTGGAAAACATTATATACCTAAATAAAATCCTCTTCCCTCTCTTCTTACACTTTCTGAAGTTATGAAAGGGGGTCCAGAACATCCCGTGTTGCTCCTGCAACAATCAGGCACAGGAACCTACTTTTCTAGAGGCAGAATTTCATGTTCACGATGGTTCTGGCAGGCTGATTTTGTAATCCGCTCATCTTTTCTTTATTTGCCTTTGTGTTTGACTTTTCCCCTCTCTTCAACCTGTCAAACAGCATTAAAGCACAGAAACTCCTCTTTGTACAGTGGAGAGTCATGCTGTCAGAGCATGCTGCACTTTCTTACTTGTAGAAGGCTCTGAGTTCAGTTAAACCACTCTAATAATACTAGTGCAGAGTGTGTTCCAAATAAAGCAATTGGCAGGTGAACTGGCAAACAGGCAGTAGATGCTAAACATCCTTTTGCTGGGCCTTGTTAGAAATGTCCACAAGCCAGCCTCTGGCTACTTTTGCTAAGACCATGCAAAAAGTCAAGGGTGACTTGATTACACAGAATTAGTATCTCTGTTTAATATGTTTATTTACTTAATCTCTGCTTTAAGTGAAAGATTAAATGTCTTGACTGTTTCTGATAATGTCTGGAGTTGTCCTTTCAGATGAATTTCAGGATGGGGACACAATGTATAATGGAACTGTTCTAATGTCAGAAAACTTGAACTTTTTCACTGCTGTATATGAATACTTCTTCACTGTGCCCTATAAACAGCATTGACTGCAATACAGGATGTATAGCAATTATTATTTCAGTAGTCATACTTTCTAAAGATTATCCAGCAAACTGTTGCAAAACTGACAACATTACAGGCTATAACTTCCTATTTTTGGTCTTTTAGGTTACAGATTAAGCCCTCAAACACTAACTGCTATTGTAAAACGTTATAGCAAGAATGGCAAAATCTTTTTTGATGACTATGTGGCTTGCTGTGTGAAATTACGGGCATTGACAGGTATGTATGGGGTTTTCTATTTTTTGAAATAGAAATGCAGTACAGAGTGTGTTATGTTCTAATTTTTCCTCATCTAAAAATTGTAATTGCAGTGTAAAGATTATTCTTCAAGTTCTTAAATCTCTTACAATTCTAAGATTACATTTTAAAAGTTTATTTTGTAAATAATTGTCTTCAGTGTTTTGAGTAATAGTTGTTCAGTATTCAGGATACCTAGAAAGTATTTTTGCTTTTTTACTGTAAGTTTAGATAGAATGTGGAAGGAAAGAAGTATGAAATGTTAAACTGGTTCAAAAGTGACAAATTTGCCATGGGGGAAAAAAACGAGAAATGTTTGACAAAGTAATACTGCCAACCAAATTTACATTTAGTGTCTACATTAAATACTTTGGAGTTTTGCAAAGCTCCAATTTACTTATTTTATTATTTTCTAAGATTTCTTCAGAAGACGAGACAACATGCAACAGGGATATGTGAATTTTGTATATGATGATGTAAGTATCTCCAGATTAAATTACTCAAATTTGTCAGGACTGTATGAAAACATTTTTGTTGCAAATGACTGACTAGATCTGCATGTTTAAATTTGATTTTAAAATCTTATCTTCCATTATGCTTTGTCTTCTCAGAAATGTTTATTATAAAAAACTCTTTGGTTGCATTCATGTTAACTTTCCTGTACCTTCACCTCCAAAAAATGACTAAAAACATCCCTCCTGTAAAGCAGCCACCCTGTAATGGCCACTCTGTAATCCAAGGCCTTAATCCTTCAAAGATTTAAGCACAGGATGAACTCTGTAGGACTACTCACATGTTTAAAGATAAGCACATGCTTATCTTTACAGAGCGGAGGGCTTAATATGTTTTGTGTAGTCTATTCATGGGCTGTGGGTAGTAATTACTACTGAGAGTATGCCCATTGACTTCATTGGACTACTATCCAGTAGGAAGTGTTTGCAGGATCAGACTCTTAGATTGTAACAGTCATCTGTTACCTATATGGCACTGACTTAGCATCATAAGCATACATGACATTATATAGTGTATGTGTTATTAATAGTACAAATTTAGCAATTTGAAAGTCTTTAATGCTGAAAATTTAAAAACAAAATAAATATCTCTAAATTTTATTCCTTTCTAATTCTGTGAACACTTCTAAGCATTTGTTCATCCAGTAGACAAGTCCCAAGTTGTGTTCCCACAGTTTCTTCTAGGTATTCATTGTTCTCCTCTCTTAACCCCCCCCCCCCCCAAAAAAAAAAAATCTGACAAAACCAAGACAGACAATTCCGGCACTCTTTAGATCTGATAATTTGTAGTCTTCCAATTGTTTTCATTTCCCAGTGTGGTGGTGTGCTGAATGTTAGCTACCTTTTTTTTTTTCCCCTTCTAGTTTTTGCAGTGCACCATGGCAATCTGATGGAAAGCTGCTAAAGGATATAGACTCCGACCTGTGAAGTCTTCTGCTGAGAAGAAATTAACTGAACCTGCTGTGAATTGAAACTGTAGCAGACTTCCCCCATCTTTCTGCCTGTTAAGACATCCACTTTGAATAAATGTTTTGATTTTAGTGCACAGTTAAGAGCAATAAATTTTTTTTTCATTTTTAGTTATTTTTCAGAAGCATACTCTTTATATGTACATGCATAATTCCAGACACGTACCCTATTGTTATGCACTCAAGCTTAATGAAGACTAAACAAACTTTTTGCTTGTAACAGTTGCAAGCATAGACCATTTCATTTTTATATGTATTTAGACTGCACACATGAGCAGAATATCAGACATCCTGTTTTTTAATCTAATCTTATCTAAGTATTGCATGTGACCATCAAAGTGGTAGTACATTGTTTCAGATGGCATACTCTGAGGAATTCTAGTTGCTTGGTGACACTAGTTCAATATTCCACCAGAAACAACTTAATACAAGTTGTTACGTAAAACTCTCCAAACTCATTGCAATAGATTTTTTTTTTTTCCCTGAGGCAGACTGTTACAAATTGTTCTTCTATTTGGTTTATTTATGAATTGGACAGTGCTTGTTGAGTAATAGTTGAGATCCTCTCTGCTAATCAACATGCAGAAAGCCAAAACAAAAATCTTCAAGGAACTATTGTGAGTCTTCATAGAGTTCACTTTCCTTTCAGTTTGAAAGCTTTCAAGCCCTCACCTATTCTGTAAAAATTGACTCCCAGTAGACCCTCAAGTTGGTGAACCTATTCCATTTTGAGATTAAAAAAAATTCTCTTAAGAAAATAACCCAGTGAACAGAAGTGTCTGATTTAAGGGATTACTCAAGCAGGTCCTTATTTTGCTAGGATATTTCAGCAGTGCTTCTAACAGAGAAGTAATGAGTGGGTCACAACCATGATCAACTCTACATCTCATCAAACTTCTGTTGGTTTTGTTCAGTCCCAAATTTTGTAATCCACAGCCATTCTAGGTTCTGAATCCTTCAACAACAAACCTTAGCAGGGGTTAAATTGGAAGTTATGCTCATGTCATGCTTGAAGTGGAGACTTACTGTGATGCATTGAGAGTGCTCTGTGGTTAAGAATTTATGGAAATATTTTTCTCATGACAAACAAGACACTTTTAGTCTTGTAGTTCTGTTGTGTGCGCGCGTGTATACATTTTGCCAATGAGCAGTGTCGTATGTAATTCTGTGCTTCTTACACCTATTCCCATAGTGTCACAAGTATACTACTAAACATAACAATTTAAGAATGATTTTGCTGAATATTTTTGATACTGAAATGTATTCAACCTTTTTAGATCCCTCTTAATTGTATTTGCATTATAGTAACTATTGGAAGTAAATTTTCAGATCTGTATCGAACTAAATATTTGCATATCCTGCTGTTCAAGACTGAAATAAGTAAACAATTTTTGTGCAGGTTTAGACCTATTGCCAATAAGTATTCATGTTGTAAAGATACTGAATATACTCATTTGTGTACACGTACTTTTATTTGTAAACAGTGAACAATTTTTCAAGTCATCTTTGAGATTTTTTTTTAAAGAAATAAGCATTCAAATAGCTTGCCATACATTGGTTGTACAAAAACTTGTTATGTTACAGGAGAGGCTATGGTTTATAAATGATGCATTTCATCTAGGTTTAAAAAGTCTGCCAAATATATTTTTAAAAATCCAGCTTTACAATTCTATATTAAAGTGGAATTATAGTACATTTTAAATGACAGGGGAGGCAAATCAATTCTAGGGGAAGTCTTAGATGGACTAAATTAACTTCCATTACAAAGAGCATAGCCACACTGTGTTGGTTAATGATCCAAAACCATCCCAAATGGGCATTGAAAAGTCAAGTAGCAAATACTTTCATAAGAATAATACAATTACATCTTCTACTCGCACATAGCTCTACAGTGAGGAAAGCAACTTCTCCAGAATGTTTTTCATGCAATTACAGGGTCCAGGATGTGCTCCTCTTGAACAGTAGTAGTAAAATTTGTCATGATCACTTATGATTCCACAGTGGATTTTATTTCTGTATGTTATCTTTGCCCTTATTAAACTAAAATATTTACAGACAATATTTTTCTTGTAGCTTCCTTTTTCCAAGCATAATTTTTTCAAAAAAATCAGTATACACTAAATAGGCATAGTTGATTAGCAGATCCTAGAGGGTCAAATGAAATACATGCATATACACAAATCTAAAGAAAATGTTAGTTTTTGCTAATGAAATTTTTGTATATAAAGGAAATGCAAAATCGGTGTGATCATGGGCCAGGAACATCCTACACAGTCTTATTTTAGGTCAGCAAGAAACTATCCATTTAAAGTATTCATACTTCTGGAAAGTCCCTAAGTGTAGCATGTCTGCATTTCACGTCTATTTACGTCTCAGTAAATCTGGATCACTTTTGTTTAGCTTGCAAATAAAAAAGGGAATTTTCTCTGACTCCCCACAACTTCCACCTGGAATCAGAAAGCCAGGCTGGGTTCTTTCCTATTGTGCATGGTCACAAAGATTCAGTGTGAATTAAATAGGCCAAATTCTGCCTTCAATTACATCTGCACTAACTTTTTTTTTTTTTAAGTGGGGTTTGCTTGGAGGTAAATGAGAAGAATTTAACTCTGGCAGTAAAATGTAGTTAATTGTGTTGCTGCATGAGAAATGGTACATTGCTCAAAGCTGTTTTGTTTACAGTGCTACTGTGTAAAAAGTAACAAAAACTGGAGTAACGTGCATAGATGTGACAGACAAACCTGCTTCCAGTGAGAATGAAGTGGCCATCTTTTGTATACAGAAGTCACTGTTCATAGCAGACTACCACTTCGCTCAGTGTATACAGCAAACTCACTTTACTCTGCTCTCGCTGATGAGACAAAATTTAAATCAGTCAAAGGGCATCCTTGTTAGTGAATAAAGACCAGCCCAATGTTTTCTGCTTTGCAAAATGCTAGTTATGAGTCCGGGCCAAGTTCTTTTGTTGTTATACCAGTCAGCAGCGGCTCCAGGCACCAGCACTCAAGCGTGTGCCTGGGGCAGCAAGCCGCAGGGGGCGGCCTGCCGGTCCCTACAAGGGTGGGAGTCAGGCTGCCTTTGGCGGCATGCCTGCGGGAGGTCCGCCGCTTCGGTGGCAATTCGGCGGTGGGTACGCCGAAGCCGCGGGACCAGTGGACCTCCCGCAGGCATGCCATCGAAGGAAGGCAGCCTGCCTGCCGTGCTTGGGGCGGCAAAAAAGCTAGAGCCACTTCTGATACCAGTGTAAAGTCAACCTAAATCTGGTGTGTTTACACCAATGTAAAGCCACTGTACTGGTAACTTCCATTCACTTATATAATTACTCTAGATTTACCACAGTGTATGTCAGAGCTGAGTCTGGCTTTATCTTAGCATTTTTCCTATAAGCAAGATCTCCTTATTCTGTAACAGTTTCCAATTCCACTGACTATATCGCCAGAATTGTCAGCAGGGCTTGGCTTAACAACCACTAGTGGGGCCAGTTTTTCAAAAAAGCTCAGCATGTTGGATGTTGAGTTCTTGAAAATCTGACCATCCCTGGCTCAGTGAGAGTGGCTGATTTTAGTGTGGGCTGAGTAATCTTCAATATAAAGCACTTAGAGCTGTTTAACCACTTGCATGATTTGCTATTCTAGTCTAAACTTTGTGGCTAGGTCTGCTTCGTGCTGTGACATTACTTCCGCAAAAGATTAGGGAGCAAAACATTCCTAGTAATGTGCCACTGATCTCTCGCTGTGAGGTCTCAGGCAGCTCTTGTAGAGATTCTGGATACAATTGGAACCTCCGTGTTTTCATGCAAGGTGGGGTGAATGCTACACTAATGGAGCCGATCTGCTAGGATCCCTCTCTGTGCAGTTGTAGGTGAGAGAAATCAACCCTAGCAGTGATTTCTTAGCAGTCACACAGTGCAGGTGGGAGCATGCTTCTCAGCTGCAGAAGCACTAGCTCTGCTCACGCTAACATGCTAAAAATAGCAGGTAGCATGGGTAGCAGCTTGGGGTAGCTGCCTGAGTAGGTACCCAGGGGCTATGGGTGGGTTTGTACTCAAGTGGCTACACTGCTATTTTTAGCGTGTTAGCTCAAGCAGAGGTAGCATGTGTCTGTTGATTTGAGCCATCAGGCACATGCCAATCTGCAGTGTAGACATACCCAAAGAGTGAAGTTGGATTAAAGGGCAAACCACTCCTGGGGTGGCAACCTGATGTTTCTGTGGTACTAATTCAGGGGAATGTAAATATATATCAGAAGTGGTGCACCACAATGGCAGGCTTTGGAACTTCATTCACTGACTACCCAACTTGGCTAAAGCATTTTATATTATTATTTCTGTTTTCCCCTAATGCAGTCTAGAAGGGATCACTTAACATCTCATTAGAGCCCAGAGACAACACTACCAGTGAAATGCTCTATGCTAGTAATGTACTGGATGAGGTCACCTCTGACCAGTCTTCAATTTCTGCCTCCATATGAAAGGGCAGATTGGGTAATTTACCAGTTTGTGACAATCACCTCTTCTCCACCTGTTGGATAAATCATCCCTACTGTAAATGACTGATACCCGAGGCTCTCACAAACATTTATTCTGAAGAGCAATTCTTTGCCTTTGGCTTGCAACACATGCCAACTCTTTTCAAAAACTTTCACAGGAGAAGATGCCCCTAGCTCCCGCTGGAGGTTCTTATCCACATCTATTATACCAACTGATATACATATATTTTCAGGAACAAAATCTAGTGCACACATTGCCATAGGGTGACCAGATAGTAAGTGTGAAAAATCAGGACAGGGGCTGAGGGGTAATTGACACCTATATAAGAAAAAGCCACAAATATCAGGACTGTCCCTATAAAATTGGGACATCTGGGCATCCTACATTGCCAGGAAGTGCTCAGTCTGATTTTTGCACAGTGGTGTTCTCTGCCCCTTTAGTTATGGAGAAGAATTTTTTTTTTATGGGCAAATAAATGAATAGGTATTCCAGACTCACAACCTTCCTCTCTGCAAGTATAGCCATCCCTGGTAAAATAGCCTGTTAATGCCATGCTGTGTGGAGCTGTTTTGTAGGAGCGCATCACCATTCTATAACACAGGGGTCTATAACCTCTATGTTAAAGGGTATAGACCCTCATAACATTTTTAATTAAAAAAAAACCCTGACCTTTTCTAACTTCTGTATCTTAGATAGTTGGTAGCTCCGTACTGGCAAAAAGTCTTGAGCATATATGAAAATATGGCAATTTCAAATATTTAATCTTCTATTATAAACATAATAACAGAGATCAGGTTTCCCCCCTTAAATTCTTGTATGTGTTTAATACACCATTTGCAATTATTTAATTATTATATTTTTGCGACCAGTTTTACTCTATAGTTTACATTTATCATTTACAGTTATTTGCAGAAGGTTATTGCAAAAATTGATTATGTAGGCAGATTACATTGTCCTTAACACAATCTTGGAAAAACATTTGTTCATACAAAGAAAATTACTTTAAAAATCACCTGCATGCAACATTATGTGGATAAACACAGGGAGCTCACAATCTGCTTTGGTCAGTTATGTCATTCATTATCGGTAAAAACCACCGCAGATTCTCTCATACTTACATTACAAAAGGCAGCAAGGTTCCACACCTTATATGAGTAAAACAGTTGAGTGACCCCATAAGGAATGAAAACATCAGTCATATTTCTAAATATGGGTTTGGTTCTCTTCTTTTCAGAATTTTCAAAATAAAGTATTATCTTTCTGACTTCAAAACCAATTTGAAATACTTGATCAAAACACTATGCAGGGTTTTGAATATTTAAGTGAATAATATCCTCTAGGGACTATGAGTTCTGGGAAATGTAGTTTTGGGGTAACATTTCATTTTGATAAAGGCACACTATCAATTTAAAATATTTAAAAAAAGCAATTTCAGCAATATTACAAAAGTAGATAAAATTGTTTAGACAGAAAAAATTTAACTTTACAATGCCCCTTTAAATTAAGAACTACTATATAGCAACTGAAGTCAGACTATTATTCTCCAAATATACCTAGGTTTGGATTTATTTTGATAACGTAGTCCATATTATCATTTATTTTGATAATGTAGTGCATATTCCTGTTTCAGGAAGAAGGACTGCTCCGCAGAGATGGGGTCCACCTATCGAAGGGGAAGAGCATATTTGGCTACAGATTGGCTAACCTAGTGAGGAGGGCTTTAAACTAGGTTCAACTGGGGCAGGTGACAAAAGCCCACAGGTAAGTAAAAAACATGGAGACCTGGGAGAAGGGTCGGAATCTGGGGGAGGAGGGAGTGTGGACTGTTATAGCAGAAATAAGGGAGAGACAAGACAGAACTGAGCGGGGGGGTGGGGCGGGAATCAAATCGGTATCATAAAGGTCTATATACTAATGTAAGAAGTATGGGGAATAAACAGGAAGAACTCAAAATGCTAGTAAATAAACACAACTATTTCATACTTGGCATCATGGAGACGTGGTGGGATAATATGCATGACTGGAATATTGGTATAGAAGGATACAGCTTGCTCAGGAAGGACAGGCAGGGAAAAAAGGGAGGAGGTGTTGCCTTATACATTAAAAATGTATACACTTGGACTGAGGTTGAGATAGAAATAAGAGACAGACTTGTTGAAAGTCTCTGGGTAAAGATAAAAGGGGTAAAAACCAAGGGTGATGTCATGGTAGGGGTATACTACAGATCACCAAGCCAGGAAGAAGAGGTGTATGAAGTTTTTTTTAAACAACTAACAAAATCATCCAAAGCACAGGACTTGGTGGTGATGGGGGACTTCAACTACCCAGACATCTGTTGGGAAAATAACACAGCAGGGCACAGATTATCCAACAAGTTTTTGGAATGTATTGGAGACAATTTTTTATTTCAGAAGGTGGAGAAAGCTACTAGGGGGAAGGCTGTTCTAGATTTGATTTTGACAAATAGGGAGGAACTGGTTGAGAATTTGAAAGTGGAAGGCAACTTGAGTGAAAATGATCATGAAATGGTAGAGTTCACGATTCTAAGGAATGATAGGGAGAACGGCACAATA